AGGCGAGCATTTCAACTAAAGCTCCGGATTAGTTTTTCCCGCCACAAGCAGCACTTCAACATACGGGATTTATTTTTCCTTTTTTTCTTTTTTAATGCACTTCGTGAATAGATAGATAGATAGATAGATAGATAGATAGATAGATAGATAGATAGATAGATAGATAGATAGATAGATAGATAGATAGATAGATAGATAGATAGATAGATAGATAGATAGATAGATAGATAGATAGATAGATAGATAGATAGACCTGTCGTTGATTACCCTTTGCTCAGCATGATGAGCGCTGCAAACACAAAAGTGAGAGAGCAGAGCACAGTCGCTCGATCCCTTTTCCGCCGCATTCAACGGGTGGAAAATAAGTCCGAGAGTTTGACTGCATGCAGATAACGAAATTTATAAACGTTCAAGCTGCTCTTGCAACTCAGACGGATTTCTTTGTTGCGCAAATACACGCCTCTCATGGGCACCTCCCTTTCTCTCGCTATGCCGATATATGTCACGGAAGATTACGTATGCTATACACGTAAGCAACAAGTGACCCCGGAACCCATTGTGGAAGCGCGTTCTCGCGGCAGCTTTCGGAATGCACAGAAGCCGCGCAAAAATCCATCTCAGCCGGAAGGAGCAGGCTTGAAAGTAGGGTTCACAGACACTGCTCGCTTTTCTGAGAGCACTAGTTTTCAGATTCGACCAACAGGGTCGCTACGACATTCATTTTTTTTTTTTTCAAGCTTTTCTTCGCTGAGAGAGAAAGGACCACGCGCGAGCTTTCGATGCGAGGCTCGCATCGATTTTTCTTTCAGCCCTCTGCTCATCGTGCAGGTTTGGAACGCTCGAATGACCGAAGGTATACCTACAGAGTTCCATTCATTATGTCGCATGCTTATGAGACGGGTACCGGTGAGAGGGAGACTTACAAAGAGGGTTCAGCTTAAATTGAGGACGACGCAGCGAGCAATGGAAAAAAATGGTAGGTGTAACTTTAAGAGACAAGAAGAGAGCAGAGTGGATTAGGGGACAAACGGGGGTTAAGGATATCATAGATGAAATCAAGAAGAATAAATGGACATGGGCAGGGCATGTAGCGCGTAGACAGGATAACCACTGGTCATTAAGGGTAACTGACTGGATTCCCAGAGAAGGGAAGCGGGTTAGGGGGAGACAGAAGGTTAGGTGGGCAGACGAGATTAAGAAGTTTGCGGGTATAAATTGGCAGCAGCAAACACAGGACCGGGTTAACTGGCGGAACATGGGAGAGGCCTTTGTCCTGCAGTGGACGTAGTCAGGCTGATGATGATGATGATGACCGGTGAGAGGAGGTGCAATGTTCCTCACGTCAGGAGGCAGCGCCAAAAGAAAAAAAAAAGAACTAGTGGTTTCGTGCATAGTAGAAGCGTTGGGAATCGCACACTTTTCGACTACAAGCAGCGCACACGAACAGGACATGTACGCGCACAAACACACCCACGCACGTACGTGGTGTGAAACGGTTTGCACCCTTAAGAGTGTTTCCCGTGTCAGAACACCCTACATTAAGGGTGTTGTGACAAACCAAAACACCCATGACATGTTTCGGTTTGTCAAAATACCCTTATTATAGGGTGTTAGTTACAGACACGCAAAACTGGTTTACAATGGGTGAATCATGGAAAGAACGAAGAGATGACCTATACAGTATAATGTAAAGAAAAAAGTACTTAGTACGCGTGCCCGTTCTTCTTATTGTTTTGCATATTCTACCGTAAAGCAAAAAAAAAATATTAGCTACGGATAAATACTTAACGCGTATGAACGAATGTGTGAATATGGCCATGAAGCCAACAAACACACGTGTAGTTTGTTATTCAACTAGTGTCTTAGCTTCTGCAACTACAGTCTCTCGAGTCATGTCAAAGAACGCAGTGTTGAGGTGAGATTCCAGGAGTTTTCTAGAGCACCTAGACACGAATGAATTCGGCTGAGAAAAAAATCGGCGAGTCTGAGTGAGTCCAAGGCACAATATATATTTCTTAAGTGAGCCCGAGCCAGTTCCACTTTTTCTTTTTGTTTTTATTGATATATGGCTTTATCTACTCGTTTTCGAAATTGCTGCGAGCCTCACCTTGATGAAAGTTTACACTCATGCACACACGTATTTCCAATTATTGTCATTCACAGAGCATTTCGACAATTATTGATTAGAGGTGCTAAGTACGTAGGGGAGGGGGTGCGTTGACCCCCCCCCCCGTTAGATCTTCCAGGGAAGTCTGTCATAAATTAATCGCATGTTGTCATCTCTTTCAAGAAAAAAAATGATCTTACTGTCTAATTACGAGCACTCGTAACTCGTATTCGAAGGAATTATATCAAAAAGGCGCCAAGAAGAGCACCGATTATTAAGGAAGATGTTGTTGTGAAAGAGCACCGACACCATGGCCGAAAATGCCAATTCTAATCAAACGGACTCGGTTCGAGCCGCGAGTATGGGCGATTACGGACGAGTAACGACATGGCGAGCCCGAGTGGGTCCGGTTGAAGAAAATTTTCGTGGGTGCGAGTCCGAGCGAGTGCAGCGCAGGAGAATTTTGGTGAGCCTTAGGAAGGAAGGAAAATAGAGGGAAAAGAAAGGCAAGGAGGTTAACCAGCCTATAGGCAGCCGCTTTGCTACCCTGCGCATGGAAGAGGGATGGGTGAGATGAAAGAGAGCAGAGAGGGAAGTCTTAAGCGCCCAATATCCGAGTGAGCTCCACAAGTCTTTTCGACCTACGCGTGACAGATGCCACACGAGGTTCCGAAATACACACGCCGCGCACTGGCTCTTATCTAACGCCATCTACAAATGCGCGCGATTGTTTCAGGCCCGAGGAAATTCAATTTACGGCTGCGTATACGCGTTCAATGGCCTCCAACATGTTAAGAGCCGTTCAGGTGTACCTTACAGCCGCGCAGCTTCACCCGTTCGCACCTGATTCTAAATGGGGCAAAAAACTGCGATACTGTGGCTGACATGTTCTCCTCCCACTCAGTAAGGATTGATTGATTTGTGGGGTTTAACGTCCCAAAACCAACATACGATTATGAGAGACGCCGTAGTGGAGGGCTCCGGAAATTTCGACCACCTGGGGTTCTTTAACGTGCGCCCAAATCTGAGCACACGGGCCTACAACATTTCCGCCTCCATCGGAAATGCAGCCGCCGCAGCCGGGATTCGATCCCGCGACCTGCGGGTCAGCAGCCGAGTACCTTAGCCACTAGACCACCGCGGCGGGGCCACTCAGTGAGGGCGGAGGGAGAAATGTCTAAACGAACGGTCCCGCATTCGCAAGTGCAATGAGGTGTTTGTAATTTGCATCAGTGCTATTCAGCATATTGCGCTGTTAATGAACACGCCCCATAGCCACGTCGTGCGCATGGAATCTCATCTGTACGGACTCTGTCCGAGGTAATACGTCCGACCACACTGTCCGACAACACTGCGAGTATCGAACTCTTCACCACGGAGGTCACCCTTCATACGCCAGAGAACGTATGTGTACATAATGCTCCTGATGATCGTTATTATTTTGCGCTCTTTTTCTTGTTTCTAGTCTCTTTTTTATTCAATATTTATATCGTTATGATGGGATAGCCGGGCGTACCTTACCGCCATCCTTCATTCGTTGAAAGTGACGACAAAACAAAAATATGCCAGCCCGTCCGAGAAAAAATAAGCGCACGTTCTGCTCAGCGCGTGTCGGCGGAGCTCCAGTTGTGAAGTACGTTCGTGCGATTGATCGCTGGCGGCATCTACGGCTTAATGGTTAGTACACACGCAAAATTAAGCTGACAAACACGCCTCACCCAGCTGCTCTAGAGTGTGCGTATTCTTGGACTGTTGTATAAGCGGTGGTGGAGGTGCGAAAGGCCCATCTATACGTCGACAACGACAGCGTCTTTCGCTAGATACCCACGAGGAGCGTCATTAAGCGCACACAAAAATGTCACAGTTCGGGCGCGGCCTTCTGGCCCTACTACGAGGTCGGCCGTCTCCACTGCATCGTCCTCTCGCATCTCTTCGGCTAATGAAACATTGCGGCCAGGCATCTCATCCGCGTTCATCTCAGGGATGTTCGTTCATTCTGCTCAGCGAAGAGTGCCGCAATATCAGCGAGAAGAGCACGGCGATGAAAAAAAAAAGCGGCGCGACCGGCAGCAAACTGGCTTGGGCGAACGCGAGCAGAATCGCTGCGGCCTCCCGAAAGCCCCGCCCCGCTTGTCGACCGTGACGTCGTCCGTGACGTAGAGCCTCGGCGTGACCGCGTGGCGAAAGCGCGTACGCACCGTGGCCTCCTCTCCCTCGAAAGCACCGGCGGCCTGAATGAGCGCGCCGTGCGGGGCTACAGTAACGCTGTGGTGGGCCCCGCCAGCTGTGAAGTAACCCGTTACTCGGCGCCACCAGCACGACCCGATCGACGCCGCGAGCCTCCGGCGGGCGCGTGGGCTCGAGACCGCGGCGTGTAGTACGACTTATCGCCAGTGGCCGACTCCGTACGACCGTTTTACGCACGCGCCGCTGCGTGCGGCGCCCGGTTGACACTAGTATCCCTGCTCCTCAACCCATCGGAGAGAAAAAAAAAAAAAAAAACGCAGGACGCGTTACGTTAAGAAAAGCCACGCACACCGTTGCCGAAATTATCCACAAAAAACGCGAACTGCCAGCTGCGGAATAAGCGTCCACGTCTCGTTTAGCGAAGCAAGTTGCCTTTGCACATTGCCGCTTTCATTAACAAAAAAAGACGGACGTGCGTATGCGTAAGCGAGGAGGTTGCCACGATGAGCACCCAGTAAAAACACATTTGTGAATAACTCGCAAGCGTAATTGCACTTGAACGTCTGTAACTGCACCGCACAGGTAACTTTTACTCTGCAATGGCAGTCCAGCGAGTTTTTGCATTGACGGCTTGAGTGTGCATACAAAGATTGTGATACAAACGCCTAAATAATGAATCGAAAACGGAATAACTACAACATACAGCTTACGTTTTGTACTTGCATGCTTTATTTATACAACCAATCAAGAGACGATGCAGAATACAAATGCTTGTACAAGAAATAGACATTAAGCAGGTAGCTGCCCATTTTTGGTATGGGTGACAAAATGCCACCATACAAAATAATGAACTAACGTGCAGTGTGCCACTAATTATGTATTGTTAACACAATTTCATTGTTTGCCCGACCAGAGCAAAATTGCATGATTCTGCACCTGAAGTCTGTTGGTGAGGCCACAGCTGTTGCAAACTGACCGTAACTAAGTAGATGCTATAGCAGAACATTGCAACTTTTCGCTCCAATTTTCTTTAGTGTGCATGCTTGGTGACTTGACTTGCTCTTGTGCATCCAGGTCCCGAAGCACATCGTCTCCAAATTGAGTTTGGCAATCTGATCAGTTTTGGCAGCGTTCGTCGACAGACAAGGACTGGTCTGAAGCTAATCAAGACCTTCTACCGGCCTTGCAAAACACGTGAGTAATAAAAATTCCCCAGGGGAACCAACATACAAATATAAAATAATAATCTCACAACATTTCATATAAAACCACTAGCTTCTTTGAGTATGATGTGGTTTTACCACTTAACAATAGAGAGACTCTTTTCCAACAGTCAATAAACATATTCATTCCATCATAATGTGTAAACTGTATAAAAAGCCCCACTTACTGTAAAGGCACAAGTGAATCAATATGTCTTGAGAAAAGGAGTTGTGCACTTGAGCAAGCGGCACCTGCACGGTGCAGCGTTGTGCACCACATCTGAGTGCAGTGTGACAAAGAGTATGCATCAGGAAGCTCGTTTGAATTGCAGTGGACGAAGAGCTGAGTGACCAGTCCGTCCGTGTGGCAGTGAGTCTCCCATTGCTGCTGCTGCTCCTGCTGCTGCCCCTGGCGACGGTTTAGGACGGAGGGTTGCGCCGGGCCCGGGACTGCTTGCGTGCCAGCAGGAGGAACACTGCGGCCAGCACCAAGAGCAGAGCGAAGAGCACCACGAGCAAGACGAAGAGGTTGAGGCCAATGCTGGGCGTCGATGGCTCAGCAGCAGGAATGGCATTTGTCGCGTTGATCATGAAACCCAGTGACCAGCCTAATTCATAGCCATTGGCTGTCTTTTCAAATGACAGGTTGGGCCAGGTCTCCTCAGAGAAGCCGTACATGTCTAGCAACAGCTCTCGGATATACATAGCTTGCAGGCAGTAGCGAGACAGGAATCGCTCGGGTATGCCAGTCTTCACAGCTTCATCCCAGGGGACCGAGCAAATCCAGTCCGAGGCATTCTTGAAAGCGCTAAGGGATTTGTGAGTCGAGTTGAGAGCATTCAGGGTATAGTAGTAGGCAGAAACACCCTGAAAAAAAAAAGTGCATGATCCTTGAATTCCCACACCATGAAGGAGACAAAACGGGGACAAACTTACAAGAAACTTCATCTGATGAGGTACAGGAACTGAGGGTTTCTCCATGCAGCTAGTATAGTTTTTCTTGCACTCGTTAGGGTCCAACAACTGCTGAATATACTTTTGACATCCAGCACTTGTGCCATCTCCCACAAATGTGAAAACCTGAAAGAAAAACATTGTGACAGCTTTGTTTTATTTAATTCAAAATAAAGATTATTTTGACATGATGTTGTTGTCACTGTCTGAGTAAATGCAAAGTTCCATCTCTGGACTTACTGCATTGGGATGATCCTTCTGCCATTGCTCAGTTTCAGAAGTCTTCGTGCAGAAGTTGTCAAACACCTCCTCTGCTGTTATATTGAAGCTGAAGCCAGAGTTGTGACACGGACTTTTCATAGGTGTTGCATATTCGTAGTTCTGAAATAGCAGCCCCAACGCAAGCATAAGAGAAACCAAGTCAGCTTGTCGGAGCTCACCTGCTCAGTGATTATCTTGGCCAGGTACCTCCGATGCAGTTCGTTCACTCCATAACACAGGTATGATACAGCGAACACGTTGTAGCGCCGGCCATATAGCTGCAGGCTGCTTATATCGTTTCCCGATGTATTGGCATCAACGGCAAAAGATATTTGCGTAGACGCTCCTCCGAGGTCCAAGGCACCAATGGTCATGGGATCTCCCTGCGCACAGACAAGAGGAAAGTAGCAGGCCAGCGGGAGATGAGCAGGTATCTCACCGATTTCGGAGGGATCACTTCGAATAAGTAGTTGGTAGAGAGCCAGGCAAAAAGGCCCTCATCGTGGCCGCTCAGGATGGAAGCTCGCTGCAGGCCCAGTGGCTTCAGTGCACACTCCACAGCCATGAGGATGGCATCAGCTTCCACCGGGTTGGTGAGGCTGCAAATTCAATGGTTAGAGCTCAGCGCTGGTGAGCCGTGAAGGGGGCAGCTTACTTGAGCACCCGCATGCCCGCTGTGGCGCCGAGGTAGACAGGTGCATCAAGCTCTCCGCGCACCTCGTTCACGGCTCGCTCCAGAGCGGGGCCCGTCTTGCGCGGCCCGAGGCTGCTGATGCCACCGTCGATTTCGCGGAAGTCCACCTGCACGACGCGCCCCGTGCCGAAGTACTTGGCGCCCTCCCAGTAGTAGAGCGTGGCCTGGCTGTGGCTGGAGCCGGCGTCCACCACGACGCCGTGCACGAAGGGCACACGGCCGCCCGTCAGCCCGTAGGCCATGGACACGAGCAGCAGGCCGAGCAGTCCGAGCACCGCGCAGATGACGCCCAGCAGCCCCCAGTTGGCGAGGAACAGGTGCGGCGAGCGCTGATGGCGCACGTACAGCGTGTCGCCGGGCTGCACACGCATGGCCTGCAGCGACGCTCCTCCGCGCAGCGGCTCGTTGGAGTGCGTGTAGAGTGCCAGCCGCGGGTCGTAGTCTTGGCCCAGGTCGTGGCAGAACGCGCCAAGCAGGCTGTCAACCGTGGCGCCCGCATGCGTGCGCACGGTCACCGGGCTGCGGTCGGGTGCCGCGGCGCTCTTCAGCTTCACTTCCATGCTCGACGATTAGCAGCGGCCCTGCAAAAGCGCCATTTCAACCTGCGGCCACGGGCCGGCACCCGGGGCGCGCCGCCGGGCGCGCGCTTGCGGACCAGAGCCACGCGCGCTGACGCGCACTGACGTAGCAACGCGTCAGCGCCTGTTTGCCGATCAATGGAGACCTACTATTTCGGGGACGGTGCAGCATCGCAAGCCGCGGCTCCGAGCCACGTGTCCAAGAAACGGCAGGTGCGCGGCGCACGCCCGGACAATTCCCGCAGCCGGGCCTCCGTCGCCATGGCGACGCGCCGTAAATGAAAGCTGCCCGAGCGGCCCGACGTCAGCGTGACGTCGCGCTCGGAAAAGTTCGGCTACTCTCGTTGACCAAATATGGACAGCGCTCCGGCGGGGAGTCACGGCTGCGGCCAGCATGCGATTTACGCTGGCCCCCGGGGGCTGCCCGGGGTTTCTAGCTCGACCCGGGGCCGTTAAATCGGCGGCTACGGCCGGAAAGTGCCGCCTGGCACCGTCAGCGCGGACCCCGAGCAGTTAGCGGCTGCGCGGGAGACCCTTTAAACATCATAAGGTGGCGCAGTGAATGAAGCCAACGTCAGAGCGACGTCAGGCGCTCCGCGCGCCGCGATTGGCTGCGGGGGGTTCCGGCTCGCCAAATAAGGCAGCGGGGCTCCCCGGGGCCCATTCATACGGCGGCGGCGGCCCGCGAGTGCGTACGTCGCAGACACACGGATGGGGACTCCCTAGCCGTCATGACGATGGACGGCCTGGACACGCTGTCTCGCGACTGCCTTCAGTTCAACCTGAGTTTCGAATCGTTCAAGGCGACTGGCGCCAGCGGCCTCGCGCCACCCGAGGGCTCCGACGACCCGCTGAACACGCCCGTGTCCACGACCGCCGAGTTGATCACCTTCTTCGCCACCGATGCGGTCATCCCCGACCCCGTGCCCATCTCAGGTGAGCCGGCCCACCGCTGGCCCGAGAGGCCGGCGAGCCCACTGCGCGATGCGGAGCAGCCGAAGGACCCGTACGGCCGGCTCGCCTACCGCGGCACCTTCACCACCGCCTGGCCCGGCCCCGACGCGGCGCCCTTCTTCGAGCAGCCCGAGCCTTTTCCCCCGCTCGACTCGTTCAAAGCCGCCCCGTACACGGCAGAGAGCGAGCAGGCAAAGTACCCCTGGTTCGCCTACGAACACACCGCACCCCCGGCGCCACCTTCCTCTTCTGCGGTGGCCAAGCCCGAGGAGCCGTCGGCTACACTGGCCGAGTACAACCAGGCGACCAGCAAGGGCCACGAGATCCTGAGCCAGGCGTACCAGAACAGCCCCGTGCCACTGAAGCTGGTGCCCGTGAAGCCGCGAAAGTACCCGAACCGGCCGAGCAAAACGCCAGTGCACGAGAGGCCGTACGCGTGCCCCATCGAGGGCTGCGACCGGCGGTTCTCGCGCTCCGACGAGCTGACGCGCCACATCCGCATCCACACGGGCCAGAAGCCGTGCAGTATCGGTGCAGTATCGAAAGGGGAGCACCAACGTGGTAGCTGACGCGCTATCTCGTGCCCCACTGTCGGCCGAGGACCTTGATCCCGGTGCGACCACCGCTAGCGGTGCCTCAGCACTGCAAGCGTCGGGGGCGAAACAGCAGCTTCGCCGCCGTTCGGCGTGAAGGGTGAGTCCCCATGCGGACAAACCTTGGCTGCTAAACCAGGTAGCGGCGCACCGCGAAGCGGCCGAGCGGGGAGCTTTCCGAAGGCCACGAGGCCGAGAGCGAACCCGTAACGCCGACTCAAGCGGTTGTTGCTGCGGTCCTGAGTGGCGCGATACCAGACTCCCCCATTTTGGGAGAATGGGCATCGCTTTCAGCAGAGAGAGCTTCTGAAGCGCCCAGCAAAGTGACCCGTTTTGTCGCGAAATATGCGACGGTCTCGGAGAGATGGAGCGCCGTGACGCTGCTTGTCCTGCAGCGGGCTCCGATAACGACTGTCTCGACGAGACGGAGCGCCGTGACGCTGCTTGCCCTGCAGCGGGCGCGAATAGGGGGCTCGAACCAGCGTGTGTCGCTGAGTCCCCGGCGGATTCATATTTGCTGGACCATGACGGGCTCCTGGCTTGAAGTATATAGCCACTGACGACGAGTCCATAGACCCGTTTAAGGTGGTTATGCCCAAATGTCTGAGAGCCGCACTGTTGCGATCCTCTCACGACGAACCCATAGGCCGGTCACCTGGTGGCTCGAGGTTTTTGCAAAACTGAGCCGCGTTGTGACCTGGCCCGGCATGAAGCGAGACATTTTTCGCTACTGCCGTTCTTGCCGCGTCTGTCAAACGGTTGAAATCAAGGGGTGGCAAACCGCCCCGGTCTGATGAAACCGATTGTCAGTGAGCGTCCGTGGCAAGTGCCACCTGCGATCTAATGGGACCATTTCCCAGAAGTAAGCAGGGGTTCCTTCACCTGATGGTAGTCGCTGATCACTTTTCGAAATGGGTGGAACTTTCCCACTTCGGAAGGTGACAGCGCGAGCGGTGCTTGAGAAGCTGCAGGAGTGTTTTGCCGGTTCGGCTTCCCGGAAAGGCTCATCACTGACAATGCTTCGTATTTCACCGCTCGGGTGTTTGGTGTCACGTGCCGTTCCCTCGGAATTGATCACGCACCACTTCACCCTACCATCCCCAGTTCCAATTTGACGGAGCGCGTCAATCGTACGCTCAAACCGATGTTGGCGGCCTTTGCCGAAAGTCAAAGGGACTGGGCAGACCATTTGAGTGAGCTCGCGTTCGCTATTCGAACATCCGAGAGTCGCTCAACTGGTTTCTCGCCCGCCTTCTTAAATTTTGGAAGGGAGTTGGCAAATCCGGTGACCAGCGTCACTCAATGCCAGCTCGAGGACGAGGGAGGCGCCGGGCAGACTGCTCTGCTTACGCGTCGGCACTTCGGGACAGGCTTTGTCGAGCTTTCTGCAAAGCAAGGCAAAGTTTAGCGTCGGCCAGGGCTCAGCAGAAGGCCCAATATGACCGCAAGCATCGCGACCTAGTTTTTGAGGTGGGCGATCTTGTCCTGAAGCGCAACCACGCCCTTAGCGATGCCAGTAAGGGGGTTCTCAACCTCGCTCGCTCCTAAGTGGCTTGGTCCGTACCGAGTGGAGAAAGCTTGCACTCCACTCGCGTACTTGCTGAAAGATCCCCAGACGGGAAAACTCAGCCGTGCCCATATCGCAGACCTGAAACCCTTTGTATCACGGTCTGACGAGCTCGCGCCAGAGCCCTGCGGCACTGCGCGCCAGCAACGGGGCACACCCGGAGCGGCGGACCGCATTCGGACCCCGCGCCGGTATAATCTGAGGAAGCGGTCACCTTTGTGATCTCGCGCCGGACGGCGACTTCTCCGCAACCGAAGGCCCTCAGTTTAGTCTAGCCTCAGTATAGGTTAGCTTCTTTACGGCCTTTCTCGTAAAGAAGTTGACCCCAACCTGCCTGCTGCCAGTGTTTCTTTTTTTTTTAGTGTTCATGTGTATTCTATGTTTTTGTCTAATATTAAGTGTTATTTGTATTTGTTTTTTTGCCAGATGTTTAGTGTCAGTATGCTCTGTGTTTACTTTTTTTTTTCGTGTTCGTTTCGTCTACCGCGAAGGGAGCTGTGTGTGACCTTCAGTGTCGGTGCTTGCCGGGGGAGAGAGACGAAGGACGCTTTGCGCCTACGCTCGCGCAGCCGTCAGCGGTGTGTGTGCGTGTGTAAGTGCGTGACGCTTCAGTGCGAGCCCGCGAAGAGTGCGTCATGGCTTCCCCCCATCGATGCGGACGCTGGAGGTGCTGGGGGGTCATTGACCCACTGACGTCAGACCATCTGGCTGTGCTCTGCTCTCGGCCGTCGTCGAAGAAGCCCCGCTGCCTTACCACCATGGCTCCTGCGCGAGGCCAGCTGAAAGCAGCTATATGCTGCCGGCCAACGCCATTCGCAGCCAATTTGGGTCGGCCTCCCTGAGCACTGGAGAGGCCCGGCTTCGCGCAACGTTCCAGCTTCATCATCGAGCCAGAAATGCGGGGGCCTCCGAAGCACAGCCGAGGCAGCGTTCGTCGGACTCGCTGCTTATCAAGACCAGCAACGAGCCATCAGTGAGCCCCCCCTTCCGGTACCTCTGACCTCGCACTCGGGCATCGCACACAGCGGACACTGTCACGCCTTTCCGCCCCTCCGCGCAGTGGACGCTATTCCCGCTTCAGCACCACGAACACTAATCCCACTTTTCTGTGCTCCCTTTCGCAACTGTTTTATAGCGTTATGTGTTTATTTTGTTATTTATGTTTATGTTTCTCCTTTGTAATCATTTTTTAGCAGCAGTAGCAGGGCTGGACTGAGGTTAGCTGTCGCTCATAGCAGTGTCATTTTAACTGTATGGGTGACGCCCGGCTGCCTTTTGCAGACCGGTAAAGGGCAAATTTAGGAGAGGGGGATGTGGGATTGAGGCTGGCCCGCTGCCTTTAAGCGGGCTTTCCCGCCTTTTCTGCCGTTCTCATGTCCCGACATGTCTGCCCTCCTTGCTGTCTGCCGCGCTGGGAAGGGCGGAGTGACGTATAACTCCCTCACCCGGAAGCGGATGTGGACTGTGGCGCCGCGCGCGGGGAGCTCCCGAGAGGTTTCGCGCGCTGCGTCGGGAGCGGTCAGATACTCTCCGGGACAGCAAACGGTGAGCCACGCTATCTTTTCGTCCGTCGACTCCCGTCAGTCGGGGCTCGTCGGACTTCGCTGACGGCGCCTGGCGCCCAAGGCGAACGCTCACCCGCTGTTGCCCCGCTGCGTACGCACGGCCGAAGGGCGGTACGGTGTCCTAGTGCGTGGCCTCGCTACGCGACCCGTCTCCCTTCGAAGCCCACGCGAGCGCCTTTGCCCTCGCTCGAGCAACCGGGCCTTTGCTCCGGTGTCTCCGTGGATCGGCTTTACCGCGGAGACGTGCTCGTGGCACCCCTGTGTAGTACTTTGTGCCCGTGGCGTGGATAAGCCTACTTGCTTTCCCGCCGCGCCTATTTGCAACGGGCTGTACTGCGTTTGGTGTTGCCACAATAAGTGTTGCGACTTGAGCAGTATCGTGTTTCCCGCCACGGGCGACGGTTAAACGCGTGCCCTGCGGCTCGCTAAGGACCGGACCACGCTGGTGCCGTACTCCTTCGGGATACGTGTACACCACAGGTTACAAGGCTTACATCTGTTAACTCTTACGGAGTGCACAAGTCAGAGGTGGAATTGGGACTGGATGTTATGAAAGGACTGTGGGGTGCCCCGCATTTGGGCGTTACTGGAAGACGACAAATGAGGCTTTTAAAGGGCTAAGGACAAGTTTGGAGGTAAGGGAAGCTCAGAGCAAATGAAGTTCGATTAGAGGCTATGACTTTGAAAAAGTAGATGGGCAGAAAATATGTTCTGGTATTCGTATCAAGAAAAATGTGACCCTGTGAAGACACATAATACCTGGGAGACTCGCCAAAAAAAATATATGGCTAGCAGCATAAGCAATATGACAGATAGCATTAAGCTATTTCAGAACATGGGAGTATTGAATACAAGTGGTAGAAAAAAAAAAACTGCTTTGAGTAAATAACAAAAGGGCAAGAATAAGTAATGCGAGGCATTTTATGACAATTCAGGGGGAAGCCCTTTACTATTTGAAGTGAGGTCTGGTTGCCTTCTATAGAATGCTTAGTTACAAAGGGACATTCAGTTAACAGTTAAATGGAAAATGTACATGCTCTGGGGAAGCTATAGAAATTACCAAGCATATCCAGATGAATGTGGAGATGTCCGAATAGGAGTATGCTTGGGCACGATCCTAAATGAAATTTTTCAATTTTAGGGACAATGGAAAGCTGAAACACCCGCAATAGAAGTTAGGGCCATATTCCGAAACGTTCCTTACCTCAGTGAGGAAGCCTCAACTTCTAGAGGGATGCCTCATTCTGTATTGTGGAATGCTTCTTACTAAGGTGTCCTCACAAAGGTGCCCTCCTTAGTGCTCCCTCAAGTTGAAGCCGTGCTAAGGCAACCTTCATGCCTCCTTACCTTGCTAGTTGCACGGAAGAGCACTTCTCGGCAGAACATTTTAGCGCACTCTGTGTTTCTCAATAGACTAACAGATTACGTGGAGGACAACTCTACCACACACAATGATTGGTTCAGAAGACGTCTCTCCACACAGGATGCCCTTTACCAACTGAAACATCAAATCATAGAAAATCCTGGGTGCTCAACGAGAGCCATTGTCGGCCTGCACTTTGAAGAAGGCTTTCGATAATTGGGGAGATTGTGTTCCCCCTGCCTACACCCGTCTTGATTGATATTCTATTGCTTTCTTTATGAAGCACTATGGTAGCAGTTTGATCCCCTGTAGATTTCTTCCAGGATGTTTATACTTCATCTACGCCCTGATTCCGCAGTGTCTGCATAAACGGCTGATATTTCTACTGAATCAAATGCCTTCTCGTAATCTATGAAGGCTATGTATAGTGGTTGGTTATACTC